CCTTCCTTCTTTCATTCTTCCTTCTGAAAACATTTCAAGTAAATCTACTCTATTCAGTCTAGCATATTGATGACACTACCACAATTATTGGGTTTTGCTTTTGTTTTCAGTTGCTTTGTTTGTTTGTTTTGTTTTTCCTGAGATAGGCAGCCTGAGTTTATTCGATCATTCTTCTATTTCAGAGGTATTCAGTGTGGGGACCAGTACTGGTCCATGACTCTTTCTTATATATAGGTCCACAACAAGATAAGGTGCTGAGCCAGAATATAAATCAACATACTGCTTCCTTCACTGAAAAAAACCTTGCTATGAAAAAAGAAAGCTAGCTGAATTAAACAGTGTGTTTAGTGAGATAGTTGTTTTACAGTGTGGCATGAGCTTGTTTACCCTGTTGCAGGCTGGTAGTAAACAGTTAAACCAACTAGTTTGATAGTACTTGCCCCATATGACATGAGTTCTAGATCCATTCTAATCATTCTTCTCTAGACCAGCCCCTAGAATACAACCAGTGCTCCCAGAGAGACTCTGCCAAAAATATAGTGGGAAACATATCCTTATATATGGACACTGTCATCTTAGAGTAGCCTAATAAATGTATTTATTTATTTATTTATTTATTTATTTATTTATTTATTTATCTTTTAGAGAAGGAAGCGGGGAGGGGCAGAAGGAGAGGGAGAGAGAGAATCTCAAGAAGGCTCTCTGCCCAGTGCAGCACCTAACGCAGGGCTCTATCCCACAACCCTGAGATCATGACCTGAGCCAAAATCAAAAGTAGGATACCTCACTGACTGAGCTACCCGGGCGTCCCTAGTTTTTAATGAATTTTTAATCAAGTACAACTCCTGGTCAGAATCACACATTTATCTCCTCTTAAATTCTTCTTGCTACTTATAGTCCACCATTCCAAAGTGGGCTACCTGTTAACTATTCTACCTGATTTTGCTCATTTACACATAGAGGCTCTGCAGCTACTGCTGTGTTAAAAACCAAAACCAAAACATCTCAATCACTTTAAACAGCCATTTTTTTTTTTTTTTTTTTTTTTTTAGTTTCTCATGAGTTTGTGTTCATCTGGTCAGTTATGGTGACCTTGGCTCGTTTCTTCTGATTTTGACTGGGCTTGCTCTAGCATCTGCCTTTAACTGGTGGTTAGCTAGAGTCTAGTCTAGGATGGCCTCAGCTGAAATGACTCAGCTTTCCTCCACAGGATTTGTATCCTCCAGTAGGCTAGCTTGAGCTTGGTTCTCATGGCTGTCACAGGGTTCCAAGGGATATAAGAAGAACACAAGACCTCTGTAAGGATTAGCCCCAGCATAGGGTAGAGCAGAGAAAGGCAGAAAATAGACCCGGAGGAGAACAAAGATGAAATAACCATCATAGTGCCAGTGTGTTCTTCCAACTTCTTTATTAAAAAACTTGAAAATGGCACCGACAGATACTTTTCATGGAAGACCTCAATAGACCTTCTTAGAGATGCATTGATCAACAGTTTTGGAAAACATTATCTAACTATCCATGACTGTACCAGTAGGAGCTTTTATCCAACCCACATTTTTCCATGATGTTAATAAGGGTTTAGTGAAAAATTTTGTCAAATTTGATGCTGCAATTAAGAAAACATCCATAGTTTTCTGAACATAAATGATCATCACTGCATTTAATTATAATAGAAAAATATTAGAAAGAGTTCAGGACTATATAACATTATGGTAATCCATATAATAAATAATTTCATGTGGGTTTTAAATTTCAAATAATTGATAAAATGGGGAGATGCTCAAAATTTAATTTTAATGATAAAATGGTAGGATACATAAACACAATATTAGCAAAGTTGTAGGTATTATATTTTATATCTAATATATAAATATTTTAAAGTCCTAGAAAAACAACAAAAATAAACTTACTATCTTTGAATGGCATGATTATAGTGATTTTTATTTTCATCTTAAATTTAGATATTTTCTAGATTTTCTGCAATAGACATATGTGATGGCATCCTCAGGGGGAAAAATGTATTTAAGATTTTTCCATTTTGTAATGAAAATCAAGCATACATTTCCCTCTATTTTGAAAATTATACATTTGTTTATTGCCAGTCTGATATTCTCTGAGAAAACATAATGAACAACTACAATTGGGAGGGAAATTTGGATCTTTCTCAAAGCCTAGTAGCTGGATTTTAATAACTATTTCATCAACATTTTTATCTTAAAAATATTTCCTGCAGCTATAATCTATGTGTGTTTCCTTTTTTTTAAAAGAAAATATTTCCTTTTATTAACCATCTATAAAACTTCCATCTAGATCACTACCCTTTCAGAGCTCTTTAGTAACTAAGAGCAATGGATAAAATCCATATAACTTCAGAAAAGTTCCCATCACCATCAGTTCAGAACATCTGTTTCACAAGCTTAGATTATTTAAAAAGAATGATTAGAAATTAAATACCACAAATAAGATTTTTTATTTGTCACCATTAAAAGTCTGAATTTTAAACAGATTCTTGGACCAGTGGCTCATATCCATCAGCTCATTCAGTCTTAGCACTGGCCTCATCCCAGTCACTTTTCCAGAATGACTACCTTCACCATGAAGCTCCATGAGTTTTCCCAATTCAAACTTGGGCTTCTTCAGCATTTTTACTTTTCTAACAAAGAAAGACATCATGGAGTGAATAAATAGACTAACAAGGCTTTTCTGTGTCTTTTCTGAGGCTATCTGGAATCAATTTATTGGCCATTTCTTTCAAGTCATTTGCCTGCACTTCTTGGGTCATGGTTTCCATCATCTTTTTCCGAATTTGGGGTACCTATTGGTGCTGAGCATAAGAGGTCTTCTGAATCTGATTGTTGTGTTTTTTAGTAAAACCAACACAAAATAGATGAAGCAAATAACCGTCGGCAGTCTTGACATCAACATGAGCTTCAATCATGGTCTGCCAGTTTTCGACCATGGAGCACATTCTGTTACGGGTAAGATCCATGCCATGGAAATTAGTCAGGCAGTTTTTGCCCTGAACATCCTCAGTAATTAGCTTGAATTTTCTGAATGCAATTTCATCATTCTACAGATCAGCAAGGCTCGCTTCAAATGCATGGCCCTTGAGGCCATCAGATCCTATTTTGGTTCTTCGAGTTCTTGTAACTAATGTTTTTCCAAAATTTCTTGTGTTAAACATAGCTGGTGCTTTCACATCATACCAATCTTTCCTCGAAAATGGATCAACCACTTTCTTCTTGGCTCCCTTTTGCCGCCTTTCATAAGGTGCTTATTCTTGCTGACTGCCATGGCGCTGCTCAGGGAACCAAAAGGCTATGTTTTCTTTTTCTACTGGGTTCCAAGAAGAAACAGGATTATGACTATCTTTAGAACAATACTCAATATCTATGCTAGACCTGATAAAAAGGAAGAAGTTCTGTGGGCTAGGTAAGAAAGCAAGAGAAAAACCATATTTCAAACATTGATGCCTCATTGGTTATATTATTATGGGGCTGGGGAACCTATCAGATAGCTGCATCTATTTTAGCACTGACCATTTCTTTATAGCCTTTAAATTCTTACTTACTTGTCCTAAAAATCATATATCAAGAAGGTGACATTTAAGCCATCTGGAATGCATAAATGGATAGTTTAAATGTAGAAGAAAGCCTCTGACAACACAACATGTATCTTTTTCTTGCAAGGGATGCAGAATGTGAAAATGAGTAAATCACCTCCTAAACACAGTGGTGGGAGAGTAAAGATGGCCACAAAATCTTTGATTTAACTCCCACTGAAAAGTGGACTCTCTGTCCTCTTAAATCCAAGTGGATTCTGTCACTGCTTAGCCGGTAGAATAGGACAGAAGCCATACTGTGCCAGCTTTCAGGTTCCAGCCATGAGCTACTGGCAACTTCTGCTCCCCGTTTCTTGGAACTCTCATGCTTGGAAGCCAGCTGCCAGGAAGCCCAAGCCACAGGAGAGGCCACACCTGTGTGCTCCAGCTGATAGTCCTAGCTGAGCTCCACCAACCATGAGCAGCAACTGCAGCCATGTTAGGGAGCCATCTTGGACTGTCGCCATCTTGGACAGTCACCCTAGCCACATCTTGGGATGACTCCAGCCTCAGCCACTGTCAGATTCCAGCTATATGAAAGACCCAGGGAAGGTCCATTCACTGAGCTCAGTCAACCCACAGAACCATGAAGTGTAATAATGAAGTGTTGTTTTAAGACACTAAGTTTGGGGATGGTATCTTAATAATTAACAAAAATAATTGTACATTAACCATTGTTAGCTGGTACTGTCATACTTGAAATAAAGTGTGAAAATCGTTGTAGAAAATGAATGGTGACATAAGATCTCTGTAAAGTTATCTTTCTAACTGCAATGGAGAAACAGTGAATAGAGCTTAGTATATCTTATGCCTTTCCAAGTCATATACAAACATAATGAATCAAAGAAACCAAGAGAAAACAAAAAGAAAGCCCAAGATAACACTTCACGTTTAGAGTTGATGTGATACCACCATGTGTATGGTACTTTACCATTTACCGCAACCCTGAGAATGTGAATTATTCTCACCTCATTTTTTTTCTTTTTATTCATCCTCCTTCCACCCACCCAACCCTTCCTTCTCTCTACCTCCAATTTCCAAATAGTTTTCATTCCACCAAACCTCAACAGGAGCCTGTTTCATATCCATAATGTCCCCAAGCCATTTACAGTGCATGAAACACAAAAGGATGCTACTCCAGTGGGTACCCATCAGGAGAAATCTGGTAGCAATCTCAGAGGTGAAAGGGTAAATCCACGTAGGATTTTATGCACAGAGGCCACCATGTGCTGCCTTTGTTCTTCTGCTTGATCAGAAATGATCAAGTGCAGTTGGTTCTCTTCCTAGAAACAGTGTATTTTGTACATTAAAGAGCCATGACAACAAAACTTTAGATATATAAACCTTTGTTATGCTCCAAGGATGAAGTTGAAGTATTTTCCAACTGTTTTGCTTTCAGGTATTCCAAAGTTGATTACGTCTGATATGGTTAAAGAAGGTGCTGCTGTAATTGATGTGGGTATCAACTATGTCCATGACCCAGTGACGGGAAAGACAAAACTGGTTGGAGATGTGGACTTTGAAGGTATTAAACTATATCTCTATTGATGAGTGAAGAAAAGGAAAGAATCTACTTTGCATGTTTTGATGGTAGAAAGAGAAACTTTGTATTTGATGCAGGCATTATTAAGTTATTGATCATTACACCTCTTTCCTCTGAGGGAAAAGAGTTTAATCACTCACATATTTCTAACCTTCCTTCCTCCCTTTCCCCTCCCTCTCTCTTTCCCTCCCTCCCTCCCTCCCTTCTTTCCTTCCTTCCTTCCTTTTCTCCTCTCACTTCTTGGGAGGAAAATATAATTACACCATTAATATTTAGTTTTAAGATTAAATTCCTTATAATGCAGGTTTTTAGTGAAAGAATTCAGCTGGCCTTCTGTACCAGGCATTATTTTGATTTTTTGAAGTGTGTCTCTATACTTCACCATCCATGCTATATATTCAGCCATTCACTCTTAAAGCCAGAAGGCATCTTGGGGTGTGTTTGCTAATCCTAACAATATGTCAGATCTAGAGAGTTACCCGGTTAATTCAAGTCAATATTCTTCACTTGTGTTTTAAAGAGGTTGAAGAAGAGGAGCTGGGTTAACATTTCTATGGCCATTGAAGGAGATAAGGCAGCAAATGTGTAGTAACAAACAATTCTAACTCAATGCCTTATCTCTACTTAGCCCCTGCACAGATAGTTTTAGATGCCTTACCCCTAATCCAATTTTACTTCCAGTATCTTCATCAGATACTTAGAGGCATTCAGGTTTTCAGTATAATCTCGGAATCCTAGATGTCCAATAAGATATGAATTTAGTAAAGTAGATGGAGATATTTTCATATTAGAAATATGATATATATCAGATTAATCATCTGGCCAAAAAAAGCAATGCCATGTCAATAACTTTATCAGCTATAGGTGTATCTTTATAGACAAACTGAAAGGAATAATAGATGATGCCCTCTTTAAACTAATTCCAAATTTTACATTTCCTCTTGGAGTCTGGTCATCAGCCCATGGTTTACCCAAGTCCTAGCATAGTATTGAATGAAACCAAACATGGAGGCACCCAAGTGTTCTAAGGGCATTGGCCCTATGTTTGTGAAATTCCAGGGTGCATCAGGTAGGCAACCTGAGCCTGGTGCTAAAAAGAAAAAAAAGAGAAAAAAGGAAACCCCAAGGACACTTGTGCTGCAATACATTGTGGGGACAGAAGGGCGAATAAGAGCAAAGTAGGGAGAGCACCCCTTTGTCCTCGCAGGGGTTGGAGCTTCCAGTGAAGAAGTGTGGCTCTCCAAGTAACCATGGGCGTCTGTTTGTGTATATGGGTGTGTCATGTGTATGTGCTGAGCTCTTTAGGAAGTGACCCCGTTTATTTCATTTGTCATGTCCGATCAGCAATGTCAGGTATCGATAATTTATTTGAATTTCTCAACGCGAAAGAGTAAGGAAACATTTCATTTTAAAACCTGACCTTATTTTATTTCTTATCCTTGCACTGTCATTCTGCTTCTCGATAACATTACAGTTACCCTGCATTTATTGCAAAATCACCATATGCTTCTGATGCACCCAGACGGCATAGGCAGAACCCAGCTTGAGGCAAGAAAAGCAGAGATATTTGCAGTTCACAACCTTGACCGTGCTGGTAGGGCAAGCCTCCCCAGCAGTTCAACACATCTTTTAAGACCCTTCTCTTGGGACGCCTGGGTGGCTCAGTCAGTTAAGCGGCTACCTTCGGCCCGGGTCATGATCCCAGGATCCTGGGATCAAGTCCCACATGGGGCTCCTTGCTCAGCAGGGAGCCTGCTTCTCCCTCTCTCTCCCTCTGCTTGTGCTCTGTCAAATAAATAAAATCTTTAAAAAAAAAAAAGGACCCTTCTCTCATATGATTGTCCATGGGTCTCAAACCATTTCCATGCATTCTTAGATGTAGCTAAGAATGTAGTTTTGCTTGAGGGGTATTCTACAAACATTAAAAAAAAAGTGGGCATTTTGGGGTGTGTGCAAATGCTCAGTCACACATAGATAATATACCTCAGATTGCACACCACTCCACTTGGTAGAATCTATTAAACTGAATGGCACTTATGTGTATCTAAACATATAATGAAATTTTTTAAAAGAAAGTGGCAGAAAGAAACAAGGATATAAGATAAACAGGAAAGAACATCGGGCTGGGAGACCGGGAGGTGCTTTTAGACCTAGCACCTAGGGGCCCTTTCCAGCCCTAATGATTGGTGCAGCTTGGACGTTTAGCTGAGTGCCACCAAACGATCACGTAAAAACACAGACACCTTTGGAAGGTCAGGGTTTTCTGATCCTGTCATAAGGTATGCCCATCTGCTGGATTATATTACTCCTGCTACACCCCCCCATCCTCCCCCCCACCCCCAGTTCGTAGACCCAGGACCCTAAGGAAGAGCCGGACTTGGTAAAGAAGGCCTTGTGAGAGAGGCCATGACTCAGCCACCCAGAGGAGCGGGCGAGTGATAGGTTTTGACATGTTGCTCTTTGGGTTGTTCATCAGGACTTAACCTGAGGTGAGGGATGATTGCTCGGCTGAGGGGGAGGAACTTTAACTTGGGTTATGCCACAGAACTTAGAGGGAACACTTGGCTGCAAACTGCCATAGGGAAAGTGTGGCTGCTTTGTGAGTATCGGCGAGCGTTTCGCTCTAACCGTACAGCCAACAGAAACAAATGGATGCCAGTACAATCAAATGCTAAAATAAATCGTCCTTGCAGAAATGTTCAGCTCTCTAATAAAGGAAAACAGGATGGCCTTTGGCGGGAATGTTTTTTAAAGAATAATTTCATTAACTGACCCCTCTTTGGGAAATAGCAGAAATAGGTGAATAATTGCAAATTCAATGATTTGTAAAACCAGGAGGCATTTTATCTATTTTCTTTCTAAGAAAATGTGGATGCCTACTAGTAATCTGCTTTATTATTAGAAGTTTTGGCTTCAGTTTTGAATCAGGCTCCTCATTTATGGGTGATATTTTATATCAGACACAGCATGAGGATTGCCTCACCCCTTACTATAGTTCTTGACAAAAGGCAACATAAATCACCCTAAATATCTCTTTTTGATGTTCATGTCAGGGTTTTGTTTTAATTCAGCTATGATTTGCTCCAGACCACATCTTCTTTCATCTATGAGGGTTTCTCATTCTCATTTTTTTCTCTGCTCCGTTTTCTGCTTCCTTCTCTCTTTGTTCTCCTTCTCTGGAGCCCAGAATAGAATTGAATAGCCCTTCTTGAGCTGGTGGCCTGGTATGGGGGTCAGGACTCAAGGTGGCCCAGAGAAAGGACTGGCCCTACCTTCACCACAATTCCCTGCCACCTTGGCCATAAAATTGCCAATATTCCTAGAGAGGAGACAGGCAGATCTAGTAGAAAATTATATTGAGGGTAAGGAAGGTAGGAGAAACTTTCTGACAGGGGGACACCCTCTTCTCAGGTCATTTGGAATTATTCTTAATTTAGTAATAATAGTAGTGTTTGAGAGGTGCTTCCTGTCCTTAGTCTTTTACCTGAATTGTTCATTTAATCCTTATGATAGCCCTATAAGGCATTGTTATTATCCCTCATTTTACAGAGGCACACAGAGCCTGGGCATCCTCCCTGAGATGACACGTGATGGGGCACTGTGGGTTCAGAGCCAGGCACTTGGAATTTCTACTCTGCGTTGTCGCCACTATCCTGCATTTCACTGGGTGAATACTTTCCTTTTGAGACATGAAGTTATTTCTTTTATGTTTACCCCAGGATATATATAATAGCAAGTTCTCAATTCCCTATACATGTGGAAACCATGGGAAGAGAGTTTTTAACGTTTTGACAAACATTTTTACAAGTCATTGAACAAATGTAATGTTGTCCGTCGATTATTAAAATGGCTTTGCACTGTTTCAGCTTCCACAGTGATTTGTATGGTCTTTTCTGCTACTGTGGAAAGTGAGCACTGCCCATATTTATCTCTATGTCCAGTGAAATTAGTGGGCAATGAGTCCTAGAGTTCAAACTCATGTCCAATGCCATGATCACTTCTACTATGTGATCATTCAGTTGTGTTTGCTTAGCACCTTTCCCAGGGAATCCATACTGGTGTTTTTCCCCAATACAGATCCAAGTGAGGCCTTCCCTGCAACACCATCCCTCTCTGGGTACCTTGAGGAGTTAATAGGGCCTTAAAGTTATTACTAAACTGAAATGCTATTTTGGTTTGAATTGATCCTTAATTATAGAATTCAAGATAGTTCATCATTGCTTCCAGCATCTGACAAATGCTTACCATTCATTCCCCTTCTATTACCTGAACGAGCCTCTCCCCTCTAATTTAAGGCATTGCAAGAAGAAACAGTACTTAAAAGCATCTGTGGTAAAATTATTTTGTATGTCTAAGAATTGTTTTTCCTTACTAACAACCACACAATAAATAATCTATCTTGAAAAATTTAGATTTGTATACAGATTAAAAAACAACAACAACAACAAAAACTGTGGGACCAATCTACTTTCACCTGGCCATTTTCTTTTAGTAGCTCTGAAAGAAACTTCATACATTTCTAATGAAAAATGTATCCTTATAAGGGAGAAACAAGAGATTATGTGGCTTGAGTTGTAATTCACTTCTTCTGACTAGAAAGCAGTCTGTAGTGCTGGGCAAGCTCATAATTACACTGCTTTTATGACAGCAGTTCACTGAATGGATTTGGTGAGCCGAACAATCTAATGACTTCCCGTGCTGTTAATTCAGCTAACCTTGTTCACATTGGCGAATTCTCAGGCCTCATTTGCATCTCGTAGCTACCACACAGATGTTTCTATGATCTTTTGAAGCTTTTAATAGCTTTGCTTCCGTTTTATGATGAATTCTTCAGGGACTGCAGTAGGAATGAAAGGAACTGGAATGTCTGCTCCTTTATTTCCTCCCACTTCTCCTCCCTGTGTTCCATCCCTAAGCATGCCTCTCCACTCCTTGGTCTGTACCAAAACAGGGAATAAAATAATGCTGGGAAGAACCACTGA